AATAACCTTTATGGGTACAGTATGAGACATCCACTACCCACAGGACAGTTTAGATGGTTGTCTGAAACCGAAATTCGAACTTTCAGTCTCATGCAGGAGGTCACCCAGACCGATCGCGGATACGTTCTCGAAGTCGACCTCGACTATCCAGACGAGATTCACGATCTTTTGTGCGACTTGCCTCCTTGTTCGGAGTCACGTGTGCCCCCCGATACAAAAAGCAGGCAAGCCAAGTTAATGGCGACGCTCTTACCCAAGCGCCGCTATGTCATTCATATACAAAATTTAATTCAGGCAATGGAGTTGGGAGTTCAACTCACCAACATCCATCGCATTCTTTCGTTTAAACAAAGTCCTTGGCTTGCCACATACATGGACCTCAACAATTCACGACGACAGCGTGCGTCCTCCCCTTTCGAAGATACATTTTTTAAACTCATGAATAATTCCGTTTATGGAAAATCGATGGAGGTCGTACGCAATCATCGTCGCATTTATCTTGTGAATAGATGGTTGGGAAAGAATGGGGCCAGGAATCTTATTGCAAATCCCGCTTTCGTGGGAAGTCACCACGTCAAGGGCGATCTCATGAATATAGAATTATTAAAAACAGATGTGAAGCTCGCGAAGCCCATATATTTAGGCTTTTGCATTTTAGAAATTTCGAATTTTAGAATGTACGAATTTTTTTATAAATATTGTAAAGTCCATCTTCGCGATCTTCACCTTCTGTACATGGACACTGATTCATTCATTATCTCTTCATCAACGAACGTGTACGCTGAGATGAATCGTTGTTCAGAATGGTTTGACACATCTTGCTTTCCCCCAAATAATTCTTTCGGCATCACACCACGCAATAAAAAAGTACTGGGACTATTTAAGGACGAATTCGGAAATGATTCCATGGTTGAATACGTTGGTTTGCGCCCCAAAATGTACTCCTTTCTGACTCGGTTTCTGGTCACTGTTTCTAGAGCGAAGGGAGTGCAACGTTCTGTTGTAAAAAATATCTTTTCAAAAATTATCTAGACTGTTTATTTCACGATCGCAATAGAGTCGATAAACAGTGCTGCATTCGCTCTAAAAATTATTCCTTTGTGCAAAATAAGCGTTCGTTGTGCGTGGCAGACGACAAACGCTATTGGTTAAATAAATTTTCCAGTTTACCCTGGGGTCATTTCCGCATCTTGTGTACGCGTCCGTCCGCTCCTTCAGCGTACACGTTCGTCCCTGCAGGCGGGGTTGTAGAGTAGACATTAGATTATATTTTTTTATTTTCATTGATTATTTATTTTCAATTAAGAATGGGGTATTTACATTTATCTTTGATGAACAATATATTATTTATTTTATTTTCATGATTATTTATTTTATTTGTAGACTAGACTATAACACTATTTATATTCATTCACAATGTTGTTATCATAAGAAAATGGTGGGGGATAAATGTAGTAGTAGACGAGCATTTGCAATGACATGCCGCTGACGACGACATCATTCAGAGGACAACCGTCAACATGGCAAGACCTCACACGACAACCGCCTGCGAAACGATTGATGGTGGCGGAGACGGCAGCGGATGGGAGAGCGAAGCAGGCAAGATGTGGAAGAATCTCGAGAACGTTGCTGTGGACCTCGTCGTCGGCGTCTCCGAGGAAAGGGAAGCTGAAGAGAAAAGCGTGGAACTATGGAAAGGTATCTCCGACATGGCAACTGACATTGCCATCAGTGCGCGCCGGCTTCACGACGAACAAAAGCGACGCAAAAGCGTACATTGAGTGCGAAAAGACTATTCGAGAAATTGTCGTTTTCATGCATGTGGAAATACTTGGCATCATGGAAGTTCTCGGTCGTCTCTTTAAAGATCCAATACAGAGGGCGGCTCTGCAGCAAAGTGTTGTTCTCATCCGCAAAGTTATCTCCAGTCCCTTCCCTCTCCAGACGAAAATACTCCTCCCGGATATGAGCCGCAACACGTATCTGTGTAACGTGATAATGATGTGTCTCTCTCACCAACGCACCATTCAGTCAGCGCACGGCAACATGACAAGACGTGAAGCGAAAATCACCGCCGCGAGGTTCGCCTACGAAGACGTCCTCGATGACAGCGGAGGATGGAAGGGTGACGCAGCCAAAATGTGGAGTAACATCGTGAAGGCTGCAGACGATCTCTCCGCCCTCACGTCTGAAGAAAGGGCAGAGCAAGACAAAATCTCCAAGCTGTGGGATATCTCCGCCTTAGTATGGAATGCTGCCTACACCGTAAAGGAACTTCACATGAATTAGATGTATCATCTCGATGAAGAAAAAGAACAGACTATTTATGACATTGCCGTTTTCATGCATACGGAAGATCTTCCCATCATGAATCATCTCATTTCGCAACATCAAGATTCATCGACTCGATACTATTCAAAACGCAATCCATCTGATAAAACACGACTGCGGAGGTGTATGTCATTCATCTGGAAAGATGTTCAAACTCTTGCCACTGCAACCGTCGAAGAGTCTGAGACGGAAACGCCATCCACCATCACATCCCACGAATAAGAGACGAAAGAGTGTCACACATCCTGTCAAGATAAACGGACAAAGCTGAAGCGGTCTTGGACGGAAGAAAAACGAGAGAGCGAGTAACGACGACATGCAGTTCATTCTCGATCGCAGCCCGAGTTACAACACCATAATTCAAGACAGTGTCCTTCGCAATGTTCTCCGCAGTCAAGATATTTTCGGAGATACGCCGCTCCATCTCGCCGCGCGACACAGTCATCTCAAGTCCGTGCTGTATCTCATCTCCGTTGGTGCGGACATTACCATTAGGAATAAGCAAGGACTGACAGCAGAAGACGTCGCGAACGGTGAAGTTGTCAAAAAATGTTATCCGATTTCAGACAAAATCGTCCAGTACATGATTCTGACAGATTATAACTATATGTGTGTGTGTGCGACGACAGTGTCAATTGTCATGTAATTTTAAAATGTATAAACATCAACAAAAATTATTATGAACAATAAATACTTATTCTAGCCTACTCTCTCTGTTGTTCGTCTTGTCATTATTTTTTCCCCTTTTGTCACCACTGTGCAGGGAAAAAATTCCTCTCCCTTCTCCCATTTTTTGCATCCCTTAGTTTTCGTTTGCAGAGGTTGGTACACAGGGTAGGCAGGCAGGCAGGCTGGAGACGTGACGTCATGGCCTCCCCAGCAGCTGGCGGCGGCGACCTTCGCACTTCCGCGGCCTTGCCGACGCACCGGCTGTTGTCGCCGGATTTTGTCAACGGATGTGGACGCCGGATGTTGACCTCGCATGTACACACCAGATGTTTTCATTGACACCGGATGTTTTTGTTTACATCCGGCGACCACAGCTGGTAGAGAAGGCACGGCCGATTCTGCATCACAACATCCGGTGGCGCCGGTTTCCATCACCAGGTATCTCCTTTGTTGTGATGCAGAATCGGTCGTTTCCATCTACTCTTATACATGCTACAGTTTAATAAACCGAGTTTTCTGTGCGTCCAATTCAAATCACATGCTACTTAACTTGATTATTTAAAAACTGCCTTCATTTACTCATCCTTCATTAAACACACATACCCTAAACATACACATATTTCACTAAAGACACATCCAACAACATAAAGTTGCACACCATCTTGTAGTTTCCCTTTTTATAAACACTCTGCATGTGTAAGGTTTTCTGCCAGTCTTTGAATGAATTAATCAGCAACTTACCTGACAAACGCACTTCAACACTTCGAATAAACATCTTTACTGTATCTAACTGCAAATTTTATCCCAACTTTTCCAAACTAGGCAATGGATTCACACACAAACATACATTCGTGTTCCTCGAAATGCTAAACCTGTAATGAATCAAAATTATATGTTAAAGTTAGATATTTTATTCAAGAAGAGTATATGGACAATAACATCGTTTTACCGCTTACCTCTGATTGTAAATGGACATTCTCATGGGAAGAAATTCTGCTTGCAGCAGATACTTAACTAATTATTACGTCCTTTGTAAACTTAAAAAAATGTGAAAATTTTTTCAAGAGGCATATTTTCCGTGGATGAGACACTACTATTTCACACTCAGAACTACAGAGCATCACAGAGCCCTCGCCCTGCGATCTCTCGAGTACCATATACACGAGTATGGTCCCGCCAAAGAAAGTTGATAGTATTGTCATACTCAACGTCTCAAATACCATGATCTCAGCGTTCACAAATGCGTACGTCTCAACCTCAATGGGATGGTAAGTATTGTCAATTAACCTCTGGTACGTCACATATGATGATTATTGTCACAATGTATATATCGGTCGCAAACTGGAAGACACGTAACCGTAGATTTATGGTTGAGAGATAGATGATATTTTTGTCAGTGTCAATGAAAATGAGACCTGCGCTATTCTCTCACGCGTCCTCCTACAATCCAACAACAAACTTCAATCAAAAACGATGGAGCTATTTTTTTAAATTTTGAAAATGTCCCAGGAGATTTGCGCAAAGTACCAAAGAAGCCAAAATTAAAATATCGGTTTCAAATTCACGAGGCCGTGACATCAGCCACACCAATTAGGAAATAATGGAGAAAATCGGCAGAACTGTTTAACCGCTAGCGTTGTTCGCAGACGAACAGATGTTTTGCTGTCATTCGATTTTTCGATATCAAGGACCCACAAAACGGGTTCACGTATCAGAGATTTTGTTTCTAAATTTAGCAATTGGAATTATTCACTTTTTCGTTATCAGGTCCTTGCAATAAGTGTTTTTCTGCGGAAATTCACCGTTTTCCCACAGCGTTACATAACTATCTCATCTTAAGAAGTACCTTCTTAAGGGCGAGAAAGTAATAATTAAGAACGATGCTTCTTTCTCTACAAGAATTTCCGGGGACATATGATGCATACAGTGGGCGTAAGACTATTTGTGACGTACCACTTGCACCTTCAACCTCTTCCTAGTCTCGTGATTTTGCGTGGTCTTTTTGCTGTCCAGTGTTTCAAATTGCCATCTCCTCAGTAAGCAGAGATACTCCAGGTTTCGACAACTGCAGTCCTCTGATGGTAATTGTAGGCACATGGTATTTGGGCGTAACTTCACCAGATGGGTGCCCAGAATTACTCTCAAGTCAATACGAACTTAGAATTAGTATGGCGATGTTCTATCACGAGCTATGTTCTAACACACCGTTAATATATAAAAAAGTAAATGAAAATCGTCTCTGAGCAAAATATGAATATATAAAGCCAATAATTACCTTGCTGAGAGAGCATTTACGTTTTTTCAATAAATGGATAGAGAACGATCCAGTCGCTGAAATTTGAGTTCGTGAAGAAGTTTTGCATCTCACGGTTCATTGCTTGGCACGTCCGTCCGCTCGACCAATTAAATGTTAACTGTGATCCGCTAGAGCCCCAATCAATCTACTCCGCGTAGTGATAGACGTATCAATTAAATATGTGGCTCCCATGGTGTAAAAGTGTTTCTTACACCGTGTTGGCTCATTTTCGCGGTCCATAGTTATTACGTAGCACTAAGTGATCCAGTTAAAGAAAAAAGCTGTTGAGTAGTTTTCGGTTTAGAATTTCTAATGTACTCGTATTTGTCATTGCTCCAGTACTTTATTCAAAAATTTAATTTTGAAGCACTGATTTCATTAAAGTAAAATTCTATCATAAAAATGTAAGTACAGAAGGGATCAAAAATATTTTAAACGTTTGCAATACTCAAAAATTCAGAGATTTCAGTGTGATTCGAACCTTTGCCAGTTTCATCAGCTTGCATCACTTTATTTGAGCAACCATTTGGAATGAAGGAATAAAGATACCATTTTTCAGGAAATTTTGCAATGGCCTTGAGGCTTCATGTGAAGTAAGGCCTACCTCCTCCACCCTAAATAAAATATCGTCTCAATCGATATCGATCGCGTAATTTCAAGTTTTTTTAAGCGTTAGTGCTGTTCACTTACGTAACGACGGTCAGCCAGACGGAATGCCGAAATCAACTATTCTAATACTCGTATCAAGAAAACAAAAAGTGGATTCTGACTACACAACGTACCAGATAAACGATTTAATTCATAGAGAAGCAAGAAAAAAACAGTTTCTTTATCAGAAACCAACAAAATGAGTCTGTCGAAAAAAGGGCACTCATGCTAAAGCAATACAATATTTTATTAATATTACGTACGTAGTATACGAGAAAGTAAAATTGTATATTCGTATGTGCGCGTTCAAAATAGCGGAGATAATTATTTCGTCGTACAATTCAAAACGGGATTTGATTTTCAACTGTCCGCAGTTTGCGGATAGTCATCACGAGCTGAATGGAAAGCAGAGACCGCGAATCCATTGCCTTCTATTACTTCACCGTAATGATTTCAAATTAGTGTGTCTTGATGAAGAGGTTACCCTGCAATAGAATGGACAATGACTTCTGGCATACCACGAAGTGCCAACAAGACTATTAAAAGTGATCTGTTTAAGCTTAATGTTGCGGCCACCGGGCAACAACGCGATCAACCCAGAAACCGGATTAGTAGCCTTACGCTCAGCACGCAATGAACCACACACGCGCTACAAGCACAAAATACGGGGCTACGCCAGGAAGATAATCCTTTCAGAAAACTACATTTTATTGTCGTTATTTTTTAAGTAACGCAATTGAGAAAGTCCTCAAGTTTAATGGAAACAAAAAGCTTATCATCAAAGATAATTAGATATTGATGAAATCGAGTAAGTCAACCACTGAAGCTTTTAAAATAGTTAATAAATTTCGGTCTTCATTTGTACCTTGATGACGGGGAAAATCCAATATAATCTACACAGTTCAAGATGCAAGGATGAGTTACTCTCGTTCTGTCTCATGGCACTTCAAATTACGTTTCATGTAAATATGTTTGACGTAATCGCCTTGAACAGATCCAACATATCGCAAAATATTCACACTAAGAAAATTTCTCTAAGAGTTATTGCTAGTATTTAAATTTTAGTAGGATAGCGATAGAAATCCGTTAGAAATTAGATGCTACATGCCTGCCATGCAGCAAAAAACTAAAGATGCATTAGTAACTTACTGCCTTCAAAAGGCACTCATTATGGGCAGATGAATTCCCATTGAATGTTGAATGTACATGTACTCTTAGCTAGCCCGGCCAATTGCTAAAGCAACAGCGCAGTAGCAATCTCTCTCAAGCGCTGGGGGTTCGAATCGCGCTTGTTTACCCTTTCGAAGTGACATTGTGGGCATTTCCACCCACATCGCATCCCTTTTCTAAACTCCTCCCCTCTTTGATAGCTTGTCGGAGTGGTGGAGGAGCACGACGTGCCTTGCCTCCCCGAGTAGGGTCGGTGCCTACAGGTCGAGCGCAGAACGGGCCTCCGGGCCACAGGTGCGTTCTGGTCTACTTCGGTACTCCTGAATCAAGCCGGTTGGGACCCGGGGACCACGCTTGCAAGGTATAGCAAGGATACACTACGTAAAATAGCCCGCGGACCACAACAGGTATTGGAATGAAGGAACACCGAAAAGATCAAGGTGGTCTGGAAGAAATTCCAACCAGTGGGGAGAGTATTGTGAATGATCACCTAAGCAGTGGTTCACATTGAAACCGCATCAGTTCAGAAATAAAGGAGGAACACCCGATATAAGACATTATTATTCTTAAAAAGATTTTCCGTTCTCAGGTGTTTTTTAACCAACTACATAGTTCTTTGTTATCCGAATATGAAACGGCTTTCAACAATAGCCCTCCTTCATTCTGGTAATCATTTGCTGATATTCTATGTTCTTAGAAACATCTTGTACTTTTAAAAATACAAAAATTGCAAATCGCCAAAAATATCCAAATTACAGATCCCAAACCCTCGAGACTCTATCATTCTTATGAACTTGAGAAATAATTCATGCACCCTTTCACGTACTTAGCATGGAGAGAGAAACATAGTCTAACAACATTAGAAGATATAAAGGACTTAATAACATTTATGAAATTATATATTACTTGAGTTACAATAAAGCATTTCATACATAATCGTCCACCTCACTTTGACACTAAATACCCCCCTCCCCGCCCCCAC